GGTAGGTGGCATGGTGGTTAAGGATGCTGGACTCCCACATGGCCAACCGCAGTTCAAGTCCTGGACCTGGTGGCTTGCTTTCTCACTTTCTCTCTCTCTCTCTCACTCGCTCGCTCTTACTCTGTCCCTCTCTGATCAAATTAAAAATAAATAAATAGGAACCAGCAGTTAGCGTAATGGCTATGTCACTGGACTCCCACGTAGTCGACCATGGTTCGCGTCCTGGACCCAGTGGCTTAAACCTCACGCCGGGCGCGTGTGCGTGCGTGCCCCAGATCCCGAGAGGAGAATGGAGGAGAAGGGATTGTGGCGTGACCATCCCCCCTGGGGGGTGATTTCTCGCTTTCTGTCTCTGTCTCTTTCTGTCTGTCTGGCGAGTGCACGCGCCCTATAGTGAAAACCTTTCCCCCCCAAATAAACGAATAAATAAATAAAGTTAAAGAAAATAATTCTAAAAAGCAAAAAATTATATAAAAAAGTACAATAGTTTTAAAAAAATCTTAACTTGTTAAAGATGATTTTCTACTGTCTCTGAAGTTTTCAAAAGTTTGAATCTATGTGCCCGTGTCTGTTGGTAGATTTCTCTGGGTGGGTCAGGCCCTCCCTCTCCGTCCAGCCCCTCTACCTAAGGCCTGGAATACTTGGGAGGGGGCCTAGACCATGAGAACAGCCATGTAGAACAGCCACGCAGCCATGCCCTGACAGTAGCCAGGGTCTTTGGGACAGAGAGGCAGGTCTGGGGTCTCAGGCTGGATGTTTATGCTGGGGTAGGGGTTGGGTAGGGCCTGGGTCTGCTCAAGGTAGCTGGAAGAAGGAGGCAGTAGCAGGAGAAATGGACCTTGTTGAGGGAGGAGGAGGCAGGAGGATCCCCTGCAAGGCTGGCTTGGTAAAGAGGAGAAGTTAGTGTGAGCCCTGATGACAGGCGGTGTGGAAATGTTCCCACCCCCACAGCCCTGTGGAATAGTGAGATGGGTGTGGAATAGCAGGATGGACTTTGGCCACTTGAGAACCTGACTGCACTTAGAAGTGTGTTTCTCTGGGTGGGCAATCCGAGTTCTCAGCAACTGGCAGCTTGGAAGCGTGAGGGGCAAAGTATGGGCTGTCCCATGTGTGCATGTGTGCTTGCTCATAGGTGTGTGTGCACTGGAGCAGAGCCTGGAGTGCGCAGCCACTGTGACGTGTGCCAGGGAAAGAAAGACATTCTAGGCCATGTTGAATGCAGGCAGAGTCCACCTTCTCACTAGCTTGTTCTGGGGGGTAAATCTCAGACTCAGGTAAAGTCTGCAAAAGGGCACAACCTGCAGAGGCTGCCTGGTCCTGCAGATTTCTTCAAACCTTCTATTTCAGTGCAGAGATTTGTGTAAAATTTGCATTGTACTTTATAACATTAGAGTTGGGCATTACATCCTCTTATAAGCAAAAATTACCACTTGAGGCAGAAGTGCAAGTGTATTTCCAGGTTCTGGGTCTTGTTGCCAATCTACCCCCAAAGGCAAGCAGCTTGGCCTTTGCTGTCTCACCCCTCTTGGAGCTGGGTTCTCCAGGCATCTTACCTCCTAGTTCGGTTTTCTCCCTACTTGCCCCCTAGACATGGGACCATTTGGCCATGCCAAGCACTTGCAGCTGGCCAGGCCCCTGTCCAGCTGGCATCTCCTGTCCCCAAGGAGCTTTCTGTGAGGCTGGGGACTCTGGGGAGGATTAAGTGATGGCAGGTGTCTATGCAGAGCTCTGGGAAGCTCTGACAGCTGAGAGAAGTCAGGGGTAGCTCCCTCCCACCCCCACCCCCTACACACACACACCTCCCCACTCCTGCTGAGACTTGCTGAAATTCTGCTTCCATTTTCTCAGCCTCCAGCCTCCCCTGGAATGGCTAGGGGTGGAGGGGGTGAGAGTTGATGGTTCCATGAAGCACCCTTTGAGGAGCCCCTGCTGTTCTGGCATCCTCCAATCATACTTTTATTGTCTGATACATTGTCAGGAAGCTGTAGAGCCTGTTCATGTCTTTGTGTTTCTCAATTTGTTCTTAATTGGTGCGTGTAGCACCAGCCATGATTTACTGTTGCTACCATTATAGTTTCTTCTTCACACTTTGAAGCATTTTAAAGTCAATCATGAGCTTTGTGGTGGCTCCAATGTATCATCACAGTTTGTGGCAGTGATGAAGCATCAAACTAGGAACCAGCCTATTGGCCTGGACAGTGGGGTGATACTGTGGGACCCCTTAAATTTCTCCATGGGCTGAGTGCCCTCCTGAGCTGACCACATAGCCTCGTGGCTGTCGGTACTGTCACATGATTGGGAGATGGCTCCAGCCAAGTCTGAGAATTTACCGAATTGTCTGCATTGCTATCTGATGGTCAAAGGAACTGATTTGTGTGTCTGTGCGTGCCCCAAATCCCAACATATGGAGAAATGAAGGAGAGGGGATTGTGTGACCACACCTTACTGGGGGTGCTTTCTCCCTTTCTTTCTCTGGCAAGCACATATACCTTCTGGAAATTAAAAAAAAAGAAAGAAAAAGAAAACTTGCCACAAGAGTAGAATAACTGCAGGTTTTATTTTTTAGCACAAATGAGTAAAATCCAGTAGACACTTGTAAAGTTAGCGCGGTTGATCTTGACACAGAGCCCGTCTGGGTGGTGAGTTCTTGGGGACCAAACAGTCTCATTGAAGCCTTCTATTGGTTTCCTCCTTTTACAAAGGAGGCTCTGCCTTCTGCAGGTGGAGCTTTTTGTGACTCACCCTCCCAAATTTTCCCATTTTGACTGTTCTTGGCAACTGAGCTGTCTCCTTCCTAGCCTCCTTCTTGCCCTGTTAGAGTCATCTTAGGAGGATTAGGTTACAGATCATGCAAAGGCACGTGTGTTTGCAAAGGAGATTGCCACCATTGCCACCCTACTGGCATTTCTTGACTCCCTTGGCTCATGGCTGAGAGGTGAGGCTGGAGGCAAGTGTGTCTCCAGGAGGTGGATGCTTTGGCAGCTAAGAGCTGGGGCAAGGCTGGCAGAGTTGAAGTCCACCCAAGGCCTAGCTTTTGCATGTTGCTTTTAGCTCACCATTTGAAGTGTTTGCAGTACCTTCTTAGCCAACTTATCTGAGGAAGTGGAGGGAAGGACGGTTCTAGTGGAGTATGTTGAGGGTGTGGCCGGGCTGGGGGGTGGAGTTCTAGCGCTATGCTTTGGCCCTGTGAGTATACCAGGCTCATGGTTTTTTTCTTATACTCACTTGACCCCCAAGATTAAAGCAATGTCTGTTGAAGACAGACATGTCAAGTGAGATAAGGCAGACCCAAAGGACACACACACAACACACACACAAGTGTAATTCTGTTTACCTGAGGTCCCTATAGTCATCAGATTCAGAGACAGAAAGAATGATGGGTGCCAGAGGGAAAGGGGATTGGGTTGTTAGTGTTTAATGGGGACAGAGTTTCAGTTTGGGAAGATGAAAAAGTTTTGGAGGTGGATGGTGTTCATGGTTGCACAATAATGTGAATGTACTTAAATGCCACTAAGCTGTGTACACTTAAAAATGGTTAAGACGTAACTTATTTTTATGAAGTTTTTTGTTTGTTTGTTTGTTTTTTTAATTTACCTTTCTGCTATAGGGCATATGTGTTCATCAGGTCTGGGACTTGAACTGTAGAATTGGCTATGCGGGACCCAATGCCTTAGCCTCCATACCACCTGTTGGCCTGATTAAGATGGAACTTTAATGTTATGTATGTGAAGGGACTTCAAAAAAGTTTATGGATAAATGAAGTTCACATGAATTTATTTCAGTGCAAAAAATGGTAAAAGTTATGCATGAAGTTTTTTATATATGCATTTTCCATGAACTTCTTAAAGACCCTGTGTTTTTTTTTTTTTTTTTTTTTTGCCACAGAGCATGGGCATTCACATGGGGAGAGACAGAGATAGTGAGAGGGAAAGTGAGAAATCACCCCCCAGGGTCATGGCCATGCTGCAGTCCCTACCCTTCCATTTTCCTCTCAGGATTTTGAGTATGCATGCACATGTACCTGGTTTGATTTTCAGACCGTCGAGTCTGTGACTCAAACTGTAGTTGGCCATGTAGGAGTCCTGCTGGCCCCAAGACCCTGTGTATTTTACAATAAAAAATTGAGGGCTACTCCATAACCTTGTGGTTAAGACAGCTAGATCCCACATGACTGACTGCTTGGTTGAGTCCCCGGCTTTGTGGCTTGAGAAACACACTGGATGTTGCATACATGCCTACCCTAAATCCCAAGAAGAGAGATGGAGGAGAAGGGATTACAGTGTAATCATTCCCCGTGAGGGGGTTCTTTCTTCCTCTCTTTCAGTCTCTGGCAAGCACATGTGCCCTCTGGTGAAATAAAAAAAAAAAATCAAGCCTTTCTGAATTCAGAAATACTCTGCATCCTTATGAAAATGTGTATTCTAGCCTGTCTAAGAATTATCTTAGAGGGACCAGCATATGGCATAATGGCTATGTCACTGGACTCCCATGTAGTCGACTGCGGTCCGAGTCCCGGATCCGGTGACTTAAATTCACGCCAGGTGCGTGTGCGTGTGCGTGTGCGCCCAAGATCCCGAGAGGAGAATGGAGGAGAAGGGATTTCTCACTTTCTGTCTCTCTGTTTCTCTCTCTCTTTTGAGAGTTTTTTTTTTTTTTTTTTCGCTATCGGGTGGGTGTGTTTAAGCCACTGGGTCCGGGACTCGAACTTGGCTCTAGACATTGGCGATCCAGCAGCATAGCCATTACACTAACTGTTGGTCCCTCTCTCTTTCTGAGCACATGTGCCCTATAGCAAAAACCTCTCAAAAAAAAAAATAAATAAAAGAATTATCTTAGGGAGAAAAGAGCAGAGGCCTACCTTGTATCAGGTACTAGGGGATTTTAAAAACCAAAGATGCATGTGGTTCTAGAAGGCTCTTTGTAACATCATCTTGGGAGCAGAGTGTTGGTGCACAGAGATTCTGTGTGCCTGGATTCTTCAGCCCCTGGAGCGGTGGTGCCTGAACACACTTCCTCTAGATTGGTGGGGTAACCCTGAGACCCCTAAGTGTTCAGGGAATTATTGAGAACAGCATCCAGGAACATTTGAGGCCTCTGTTCTGGTACACTGTGTAGGGATCACAGGTATTTCTTTTTCTTTTTAAAGAATTATTTAATTTTACTTACCATTATTATTATCATTTTAAAAAGGATTATTTATGATGATTATTTTTTAACTTGCTGTAGAGCACATGTGCTCATGAGAGAGAGAGAAACCGGGGGAGCAAGAAAGCAAGCTGCGAGGTCCAGGACTCGAACTGCTGTCGGCCATGTGGGAATCAAGCACGCTTAACCATCACACCACCTGCTGGCCTGTTGCTGTAAATTTTAATTTTCTATAGGGCGTGTATACTTGAGAGAGAATGTGAGAAAGCAAGCCACCAGGTCCAGCACTCAACCATGGTTGGTCATGTGGGAGTCCAGCACCTTAACCACCATACCACCTGCTGGCCCCTTCTTTTTAAGTTTGCCAAAAGGTACATGTGGTCACCAGAGAGGGCCAAGAGAGAGAGGAAGCACTCCCTAGTAGGGCATGGTCACACAGTGGTCCCATTTCCATTTCTCCTTCCCTTTTGGGATTTTGAGCACACATGCTCAGCATGTTTTTTTATTTTTATTTTTATTTTTTGAGAGTTTTTTGCTATAGGGCACGTGCGCTTGCCAGACAGACAGAGAGAGACAGAAAGCAAGAACTCACCCCCCAGGGGAGATGGCTACACTGCAATCCCTTCTCCATTCTCCTCTCAGGATCTTGGGCACGCACGCACATGCGCCTGGTGTGAATTTAAGCCACCAGGTCAGGGACATGAACCGCGGATGACTACATGGGAGTTCAGCGACATAGCCATTACGCTAACTGCTGGTTCCCTCAGCATGTTTTTTTTTTTTTTTTTTTTTTTTTTTTTTTTTGAGAGGTTTTTTCTATAAGGCGCGTGTGCTCACCAGACAGAGAGACAGAAAGCGAGAAATCACTCCCCAGGGGGGGATGGCCACACTGCAATCCCTTCTCCGTTCTCCTCTCGGGATCTTGGGCACATACACGCACGCGCCTGCCGTGAGTTATAAGCCACCGGGTCCGGGACTCGAACTGCAGTTGATTACATGGGAGTCCAGCGACTTAGCCATTACGCTAACTGCTGGTCCCCCTCAGCATGTTTTCGAAGCCACTGGGTCTGGGACTTGAATGGCGTGGTTGACCAGCTCCTTAACTACTGGGCCACTGACTGGTATTTCTAATTTTCTGGTAGCTGTTTGTCGGTGAATTCCTGCAAAATGGCACATGTTTATGTGTTTATACAGAAAGAAAGAGAACTGTGCTCAGATTCTCATTATGGAGAAGTCATATTCCTTTTTGTTCTTTAGGACATTCCTTTGATACTGTGACATTCTGGGTCAGCAGATGACATGGAGGTGCTGGATGCCACATAGCCAGTTTGAGTCCTGGACCTCGAGGCTTGCTTTCTCTCTTTCTCTCTGTGGTCAAATGAAAATGAATGAGTCAATAAAATTAAATAAATAAATCTTAAAACTTAATTTTTAAAAAAAGCTGTCTGGGACCAGCAGGTGGCTTGGTGGTTAAGGGCGCTGGACTTCCACATGGCTGATCACAGTTGGAGACCCAGTCTAGAGGCTTGCTTTCTCACTTTCTGTGTGTGTGTCCTCCATTCAAATTAAAATAAATGAATTCAGTTAAATCAAATAATTATTAAAAAAAAAAAAAAGCTATCTGCCCCACCCCACCATGGGAGCCTGCCTGCCCAGACCCCCTTGGACAGTTCCTTAGGCTCAATACTATCTATCAATACTAAGATGATGCTGACACTCCTTGGCATCAGACAGAATGTAACTTAATTTTTTTCTTTTAATTTTAAAAAATTATTTAATTTTCTTTTCTTTTTAAAAATTACCTAGAGAGAAAGAGAGAGAAAGTGAGAAAGCACGCTGCCAGGTCCAGGACTGGAACTGCGGTCAGCCATGTAGGAGTCTAGAGCCTTAACCATCACATCACCAGCTTTTTAAAATTTATTCTGGGAGAGAAGGAGATAGAGGTGGTGTGGAAGGCACCCCCAGTGGGTCTCCATGCTGTGATCCTTCTACAATCTCAGCCAGCCCTGATCATGAACACATGCATGTTTATTCAGCATGCATCAGGGGAGACCCTGGAATGTGAGTGCAAGGCCTTCTCATGTGAATCTGCCTGCATTCCTGATGTGCCACCTCCCAGCGCCTCAACAGTGTAACTGTCAAGAGAGCTGGAACTGAACAGAATTCAGCAGGAGGAAGCTCTGCACATTTAGGGTGGTCTGGAGGCGTAAAAGAGAAGGGAGACTGTTGTGGTACCAGCTGGAGTCTGAGCCTTTCAGAGGACAGGGCGCTGAATCAGTGTGAGAATTGTAACGGGTTTTTGGGTGGCATTCTGAGCCTTAACCATAAGAACGGAACAGAGGAGGGCAGATGCAGGCACCACTGGGCCCAGGGTAGCCCTGGATTAGCAGTAACGAGAGGGGGACCTTCCACACCCTAGGAGAACCTCTACCAGCCACATGAGGGGGCACAAGCAAGCAGCCCCACCTCTGGGGCACCCTGGACTCACTCCAGGGGCTATGTGTCACCACAGCCTTGTCTGTGTCCATGTTACTTCTTCCTGGTGTTGACTTGCTATTCTAATTAAGGACAGAGTTTATATTTATACGGTTTGTTTTTGCCTCCAGTCCGTGGCGGAAGGATCGTGGTGGGATACTGACAGCTCAGGGAGGATGCCATTTTGCGGCTTCCTTCTCCGTGCTCAGCTGGGTGTCGCAGGAGGAAATGAGCAGGGGCCCTTTCTCCCATGGGGTGTTTAGCTCAGCCTTTGGGGAAGAGAACCTGGCGGGATACTCAGTATCAAATAGCAAGTTTCACCAAATGGAACTAGGGTGGAAATCTTGGTTGGGAATCCAGGGTGCCGGAAGGGACAAGTGGGGAGGCACTGGCTGGGAAGAGCCTTTGCCTGAGTAAGGATGAACCCAAAGGACAAGTGGGAGGAAGGAAGGGCCCACAGGGTGGTGGCCTGGTTAGTGGCAGAAGGGGTTCTGAAGAATGCAGGGGTAGGGGGAGACCAGGTAGGTGGATCCAGAGCATGGTGTGTGCATGTGTATGCACGCACCCGAAGCTAGAAAGGGACCTTGAAAGCCACAGTGAGGAGCTCTGAGCCCTGGGGAGTTCGAAGCAGCATCAGGAAGGGCCATGTGGACTCAGTATGGGGAGTGGACGATCCATCCCTTTGGTTACTGTAGCTCAGGGAGAACAGGCGGGCAGACCAGGGCCTCCGGGGCACTTACTGCCTTTCACCCCAGTGGGCATCTCAGCCCGAGAATAGACACCAGGACTCTGTGGCCCCCCCAGTGCCAGCTCCGGTTGCCAAGGATGGGTCATGCAGGCGGGCTTGTCGTCGGCTCCCTGGCCCTCCTGGGGCTGGTTCTCCGTCTCTAGTCTGCCAAGTCATAGTCTTCCCCATTCCCTGGGGACACAGAGGGTTAATGAGGCTCTGTGCCTTGGGGAGAGCAGATAGTGCTTGTGTCCTCAGGGACATGCTGGAGCCCGAGCAGCTCCTCAATGGGCCTCTGCCCTGATTTCTTGTCAGAGGCGTGTTGCTGTGGCTGGGTCACCTCTGTCTTGTTAAGTTTCTCGATCTCTTGAATGAGAAAGAAAAAGAGTTAGGCACCCTCAACAGGGTCTCACCACATCATGATCCTTCCCCATCCTCCCTGCCAGCCAGGATCACAGGGTTGGTGTGGGCACGCCCGCGGTGTTCAGGCTGACTTGGATCCAAACCTGGCCTCCCATGTGGCTCTGGTATTGTGTGTTAGCACATCATACCACTTGTGCCATGTAACGGATTCTCTTTAATACCCACCAGGGATAGTTTCCTCCTGATTCTTCAAGACAGGGGTAGTATTTTTGGCTTCTGGGCTAGGCCTACCTTCTGTGTCACCACTAACGCCGACCTTAGGTTAGGAAACTGAATCTGGGACCTAAGCAACCCTTCCCGAACCAGCCCACATGTGATATGGAACACCATGACCTCTGGGCTCCGTTGAGATGCCTCACTATTGCCTTGTCTCAATTTCTCCTTTTCTGGCAGAGCCCAGGGAGTTCCCCGTCTTGACAGTTTGGTGCGGCTGCTAGGATCATTATTTGAGGGTCTGGAAGATCCTTGTGGAGCAAGGTGTTTGGTTTGTGCAGAACAGCAGACTTGGTAGACTTAGGAGACAGGCAGGAGGAGGTGAGCAGTATTGTTGGTTTCATCTTGGAACATTTGAGACCTCTTCCCCCGTGCCCAAGACTGGAGTGGAGCCATGGTGTTAATTTTTTGGGTGCTGATGGTAGAAGGACGGAGGTGTGCAGCCGCTTCTGTAGGGCCGGGCTTGTGGAGGGGACCAACAGTGCCTTCTGGGGACTCCTCTAGAACTCAGGCTTCCCTTTCAGGTGTCAGTGGCCCCGGAGACACTATCCCTGCACCAGGCATGGGCACTGCCACCCCAATGTCTCCGCGAAACCGAGCTCCCCAGACAGCAGCCGTGTCTGGCTGTGCCTCCTCCCCTTAAGTTAAAAGGGAGCCGACCTCGCTTGTCTGAGCTCCCATGAGAGGATAAAATGGCAACAAAGGACTTCTGTTGCCCCAAGTGCAGTGACTTGATGTCATGTAAGTCACCATGGCTACCTTCTCACCAAGTGTGATCTTCCCTCCCTCGGATTGGGAAGGATTGGGAAGTCGCTGTGTTTGGGTTGGTCCTAGGGTAAGGGTGTGTGAGTGTGAGCGAGTGTGAATGTGTGTGTAAATGCAGTACCCAGGTGCAGGGTCAAAGCCAAACCATAATGATTTATCAGGGGAGTGGAAGAGTCTCTTATGAGTCGGTAATTGTGTACTTAAAGGTTACTTGATACTGTTTTAAATGTATGGTTGGAAATACAGACAGTAAAAGCTCTCTGAATCCAGGCAGTGCAAGGCTTCAGTGCTAAACAGCGCAAATGGTATGTCGGTGAAAAGCGATGAACGTTTAGTTTAAAGAAATGCCCCTAATTGTAGTAATGCTAAGTGGCTT